CGCACATCCTCGGAGGATATCACTAGATCTTCACTGGGCATCAATTGTAGAGGGCTCATAGTAGCCCAAGTGGGAAGCGTGGCTACGTCGCCTTCGATGCCACGGCATACCATATTGGCTGGCCGAAGATCCATGATCAGACGGTGAACCTGATGACCTTCCTGCACCTCCCCTTTCGCCACGCCAAATAGTCCGTTTAGGAGGGGGCGTCCGTCAACATGATGAAGTTCCTTCTCTTTCAACGGGATGCACACTCCCTTCCCCAACAGACCCTCGCAGACTCGCGGCCAAGCCTCATCACTGATCATGATCCGCGGCGGCTTCATAGGCTTTTGCAACTCCTCGGGAAGAACATATGACTTGAAGTTCATCACGTAATGACGACAACCTAGATCAACCACTTTGGCCAAGGGGACCGAGGCAATCTCCGAGGGCATTGCAGGTGCGAGGTTTTCCCAGGTGGTATACTGAGCGCAAAGGACCTCCTCCCCACAGTAGTCGATGGTCTTTACCTGAAGGAAATCATGCCATGATGTCTCCTCAAACCTTTCTTCCCACTCCAAAATTGCCCTCGACTGACCCTCCAAAAACCTCAGGACTCCGACCTGCACAGGGATCGGGGGAAATGAACTCTCCAGTTCAACCCCATACAAGCTATTCAACGACATGCACATGCCCCTCATGACAATAGAGGCTTCCTCCGAGATCTGCAAAACCTCCCTGAGCACCCCCATCTCAGTGGGCAACGGAAATACGTCGCCCGTGGGCTGGGTCGTGCACTGCACAGGCAACTCAATCTTGGAGCTTGCTTGAACTAAGATGGAGGAAACCCAAGGAAAAACATGATACAACTCTTCACCCCCACTCGGCGGCTTCATGCAAACTTTTTGCAAGGTTGAGACAGGCTCTAAGGCGTCAACTCTTGCATCCTCGGCCAGGGCAACCCCCTTTAAATGGCGCCTCTTGGCCTCTGTACCCAAGGTGGTCGAAGCTAACGAAGGTCCAACCACTTTGCCACTGGAAAAATCCGTTCGACTCTCCTCAAATGGCCGAACCATGTCGTGCGTCTGGCTCTCCGCAGGATCCTCATATCGCCTCACGAATCCTGCTTCTTCTGCTCCTTGTCTTTGCCTTTTTTGCCCTTTCCTTTGCCCTCCTTGCGCTTTCCTTTCTCTGGATGCCATGGCGTGTCTCGCCAACTGCTTGACCAGTCGCCTTTGTTCTTCCCCTTGCTTGCTTCCGCCCTGGTGCGGTTCTCCTCCTTGGATTCTTTGATGGCCTCTCGGGCCTCCGTGCGGCTTGAGATGATCGGCTTTTCCAAGGGGACTAGCTCGATCTTTTGCGATACTGACCAGCTGGCACCTTGCGAACACATCTCTATGGCCTTCAGCCGTTGCATTAGACCATCTGCGGCCTCTGCTATCCGAGCTTGCATCAACAGGTCCAGACACCAGCTCAGCGTCAATGCTTCGCGCGATTGGCCACCTGTCAACCGGGTGCTGAGGACCTGCCTGAAATACTGGCAGCAGATGGGTTGAAGCGGCCCTTCGGCCTGATCCCAGATCCCTCCTGTGGAACTGAGGAGGTTGTTCGCCATCTCCTTGCATCCTGCTGTGGTCAGCGCGCCCGGGGCCATCCGGCCTATCCTCCTCACTTTCTGCGTCTCCTCGAAAAGGTCGCCGCTCTCTTCCTCGGTCGAGCCGCTGCTGCTCCCTGTCGATGAGCTCCCGGACGAACTCTTCTTCTTTTTCTTTAGCTTCCTCGAAGCCTTGGCTGCTATTTTCTTCCTTACCTTGGGATCGGGGTCCATCCCTGTGCCAGCGAAGGCACTCTTCAGGCTCTTGCGGGCCATTGCCCTCGCTGACACCTTCTTCTTCTCCTCTTCTTTGGGAGACTTGTCCTCTCCTGAGGATCTCCCCTTCTTCCGCTTCCTCTTCTTCTTGTCTCGCTCTTTGCTTCTGCCTCTCTCTGCTCCTTGCTTCTCCTCTCCTTCTTTCACGGCTTCTCTTGCTCTTGGCACTTCGATCTCGGCCTTGTCTCCTGCCGGTCTCTCTTCGACCAGGTTCATAGCCCAGGCGGGATCCTCCCCAGTCCTCTTCTTGATCTCCTCCCCATGTAGGAGGTTCTCGGCATCCAACATCGCTTCGCAACGAGCCCCGCAGAGGTGAACGCGCATCACTTTGATGGCGGTGCCGCTTGCCCACTGCAAGATCGTTTCCGTTGAAGTGCCCTGCAAGTCCACTTCGACCTCTATGTCTTCTCGATCCCGAATTTGAACGCTCCTCACCAAACCCGCGATCTCGGCGGGAGCCCCCCAGTAACGTCCCGTGACTGTAATGGGAAGGCGTCTTCGAAGCAGCTCCAAGGGGATTGAGGGACATCGTACTGCTTGACCTTCTTCGAACAAGCGTCCTTCCTCTCCTCCTCGCTCTCTCAATGCCTCACGGCCTGCAGGTTCGGCCCCTGCTGGTCGCCGTCTCACTGCTCCTCCCCTCTCTCTGGGAGGTTCTTCCCTGACCTCTCTTCTTCCTCTCACTCTTGCTGCCGGCCTCCTCAATGCCATTGAAGAGCTTGGCACGGACCTGCACTACCGTCTGAAGTAGTACTGGTCTTCCTTCTTCTTTCTGCCCTTATTCGTCCCCCAGTACTGGGGTTCCCTCTGCCACTCTTTGAGGTGACCTGACCAATACCGACCTGTCGGACGAGCAACCGAAGGTGGCGCTCCTCCCCGTCTCGCTACCGGAGGCTGCTTAGGAGGCGGTCCTCCCCTGTCTCTTGGTGGCGATCTTGAAGGTGTCTTCGGCGGTCTCACTGATGGCTTTGCCTTCTTTTCTTTCCCTGTCTCTTCTTTGTCCTTCTGTTGACCTCTTCTGGATCGACTGCGCTCCTTCCTTGTCTTCGACCTCCGACTCTTCGACCTGTCTCGGCGTCTCCGACTCCTGCTTCTCTTGCGGGACCTGGGTCTTGACGATCGAGTATCTACTCTCGACTTTGGGCCCTTTGATGAACTCGAGTATTTGCCTTCTTCCTCCTCTGCCTCGATCTCAAGCTCCTTGACTCCAGCCTTCTTGGATGCTGGGCTGACTCGGCTCTCCTCCTCCTTCAAGTCAATGGCCTTCTCCTTCTCACTGACTTCTCTCCCCTTGCTGGGAGATTTGGAGGGCAGGCGCGGACCTGCTGACTTGGGTGCTGCGCTCTGGTTGACGATCTCCTTCTGCTTCAGGAGGGTCACAAATTTCTCGTGCTCCTCCTGGATGATGCCAGTCCAAATCCAAAGATTCGAGATGGCCCAACCTCGAAGCTCTGGTGGAAGATCGTCCAGCACAACCCAAAACCTATCCCGGGCTCGGCAAAAAGTGCACTTGCCGTCCAACTCCGACGTCACCGTACCGCAAAGGGTACAGGACATAAGCTGAGAGCCCAAACCCTTCGGGTGAGAAAGGACTCTACCTAATTCGTCTTAACCCACGAGGACGTAAGTTCATATAGATAAGAGAAGTTCTGTACGTCGCCGTTGATCGCAGGAGAACAGAGAAGTCGTAGCATGACGATCGTCACGTATAGATTGCGAGAAATTGGGAGCAAAGAAAGAGAAAAATGGCTGATATGCTGTAGTCCGATGTCTGCGCTCCCTCTCTCTCTCTCTCTTATATCCAGTCAATCGTAGTCATACAACGACGGATGTGGCAAAACAATGCAGGAAGATCGACAGCTCTAAATTAGCTTCCAAGCCACAAGATAGCATTGACACAAATGTGCCGGTGCACTTCACTCCACTCCAACCTTTGCAAGCCTTGAAACTGACTAGAATCACTAGAACTAGGAGACTTTGGACAAATGGTGATTATGTAACACCACAAACCGAGCAGGTAAGTCGATGCGGCATCCCGGATTGATATCACCAACACAAATCCATTGTCTACGTTGGTGCAGGTTTCTGGGTTGGATTTTCAGGGGATCCCCGCAGACATCAGAGGCATTAAACATTGGTGTCCGCAGGGATCGGGGACTGCAATTGGTCTCGCAAAAAAGGACATCAAAGCTAGAAGCGCACCATCCCCTCACCCGCTCCTGAGTCTCTTCCAACAAGGTATATCCTGAGCAGGATGTGCAAGGGGAGAAGAACATCGGCTTCTCTGGCGGAGCCCAACTGATGCTCAAATGTGACAACCCAAGCATCTCAGCCAGGGTTGCACTGTTGCTCTGACATGCTTCACCAAAGAGCTTCTCTGCAAAGATGTGTTCGGCCACATAGGTGCCAAGGATCTCCTTGGACAAACTCCGGAGCCGCCAATGTAAGAAGTTGCCGTCGACTGTTCCGTCTGTGTTCTCGTTCGCACCGATAGGCCGCTGTGACGCTTCCACCAATCGGATGCATTGCATGTTCTGCAACACGTCTCCATCAAAGGCCCGCAGTAGCTGGGCCACGAAGGGCGGCGCGAAGCGGAACTCACTTCGGAAGGTATCGATCATCGCCATCCTCATCTGTTGGGCATCTGGAGCACGCCAGCCATTGATGCCCTTGATCTCATTGCAGTACCAATCCACCCTCTGAATCAGCCGCTCCAAAGCAGCCAAGTTTTGGATATTCTGGCTCTTGTTGGCCCAGGTTTCGTAGGATTTGTAGACAATTGACCTGCTTTTCAAGTCGTCAATAAGGCTTTGAATGCTGTTTTTTCTGCCATCTTCATGCCCTGCTGTTTTCAGCTCGGCATTGCCCACAGTACTGACCGTCCAAGCTGGATTTTGTTGCACGGTTTGTTGCACGACTGGTTGTCGCACATCCCCTGACCCGAACATTGAGATTGAGACTGAAAGTGGGCCTGAGCCATCTTGGCTGCAAGCCGGTCAAACAGCCATTTGGAAACGTTTCTCCCCTTCTTTAGGAACGCTTCTAGTACCATCTAGGACCTATTAGTACCTGAGGACTCACCCCCTCCTACATATTACAAGGCTGCATCGGGCAAGGCTCTGCCTGGCTGCCTTATCATCCAAGGCACTTCTGGGTGGGTCCACCCGAAAAGAGCAACGACTTGGCGCCACCTTCAGAGCCTTTGGGCGCCGCCTCCTTGCGAATTGTGATCCAATCCTTGGAGCATTGTACACCCATAGTAAGAGTCTCCAAAGTGTTCGTCCGAAAGGCTAGGGTTTCAACGAACTCTGGGGTGAAGGGATGAGACGCGGAGCCGAGTCTCTTTGGGCAGTTTGATCTGCCAACCAATCTGGTCCTGCCAACCAACTACTTCACAAAGCGTCATTCTTTGCAAATCTCGTATTGCTCTTCTCTGGATGAAAATGTTGTGAAGAAAACTCGGCCACAGGCCTGCTCGACAAAGCGAATGAACTGGGAGAGGTCGGACCCCTCAGGGAAAGAACCAAGCAACAAAGGCCTTCGACCTTCGTCAAAAAAAAAGATGAAAAGGTCGAAGGTCCATTCTCTCGGCCTCCTCCGCTGATGCTTGTTGGCTGAAAAGCAAGGCACCAGCGTAGCAATCTCTACCTCAAGGATGACGAATTTGCTAAAAGAGAGGTTCAGATTCGAAGAATTCCAAGAATGCTCAACAAGTACAACCCTCTGCATATGAAACAACTCACTTCTACCGGCAACACGATCTATCTGAACTGCTGACTGGTAGGGCTGAAAGGCTCCGCTAAATGGACTTCACACCCACTTCATCCCACATCTATGAAAAACTAGAAACTCTTCCTTACCGTTACTTCTGCTTTTCTCGCTTAAAAAGCCATTGCATAGGTGTTTTATCGTGTTTTTCGTGTCCAAATGTTCTCTACGGTGTCCAGAAGTCGCCCATCCGCTTGGGCTCCGTGCGTCGAAGCCGCAGCTCAGTGAAGGCCTCATCGTTCGTCTCGAATGACGAAACGGCTTGACCGCTTGGCTTGACATGCTTGGCGCATGCTTTTATGCTTTTGCGCATGAGTGTGATTTCGAGAATGCCTTAGATGGTCTCGTATGTTGCTTATATGTTGCTTGATGTCTTGCAGCTAGGCGGAATGTTCCTCTTCCTTCTTCTCCCGACGTGAACAAGAAACTTCCCACAGATTCACCTGCAAAGCACCACCTCCATGAGGCCGGCAGGCCAGAGGATTACATAGAATATCTTGGTTCTCTTCATGCTGTTCTTCTTTGGGCCCATTGAGTGTGCTTTGTTCTTGTTCCTTTCTTCATGCAAAGGAGGAAAGCATATGTGAGGAATGCCGGCAAGTAACAGCACCAGTATCCAATGCGTTTGAAGACAAAGGAAGGAAAGAGAGATTCATTGGAATGACGAACAAACGAAACATCCAAACGACAAACTTCCAACTTCACTCTGAGTCTCCGTCGCGGGGAAAGTGCACCCGCCAAAGAGCCAGCAAGGGGAAAGCCAACCAAAGCCGCCGCATCGGAATCAGCGAAGCTCAGGACCGCTTCGAAAATGTTTTTCAAGCGAAATTCGAAGTTGAAAATGCTATGTTGGACTGACCTCTGAGATTCAGTGTTTGGTGCCTCCCTTGAGTCGTTGTCTGAGATCAAAGAATCTGAATATGCCTATCAAATCCTATTCTATAATAGGCTATAGGCAAAATCTGGGAAAGAGTGACTCTTGCAGTTGTTTCAAGGAACACTCATATCCAGGATTATGCAGGTATGCACCACAGCCATGAAGACTACAATTCGTGTCGGCTGAGCACAGTATGGCTGTTGCGAGCACTTATATTTTTGGGCATGCGCCCTGTGAAAACCAAGCAAAGGAATCTTCAGAACAGTCGAATGGCAGAAGCAATCTCCAAAGCAACCTCAGCAATCTTACCAGTCTTCCTCTCACTCCGACCGTTTCAATCCTTTTATTGGGTTGGAGGCCATCGCTATTTGAACAATATGTTCTTTCTTGTTTTACTGTTTGCATTTTTGTGCCAATCCTTTGTTCATCCTTTTTCATCGTTTTCACTCACCCGACGATCCAAGTCTTCCTCGGAACCGAACCGCTCTTCGATTCTGCGCCATGACTTGGCCAATGACGCGGTGTGAGCCGGTCGTGACCCCGGTGCCCACTTTGGGGTTGAACCGGAGGATGGTCGTTTCACCGGGCTCACATTACCAGAGGATGGTCATCAGCGGATTGTAGATCTTCACAAAGGCCTCTGTGGATGCAGCCAAGGCAGGTGAAATGTCATTGTTCCGCAAAATGACCTCGGGGCAACTGCAGATTGTTCGGACATCAACCTGCGCTGGACTCATTCAGAATATTGGAGAAGTCTCACTCGGACATCAATGTGAAAAGTATCCCGAGAACAGGCTAACTGATGATCATACTCAAAGTTTGGAAAGGCCTTTTCACTGAAGGCTTGCCTTCCTGATCGACTCAGGCTGATTGAGGCCACGCACCAAGTCGATCATGGACGTGAGCTGCTTGGGGTTCCACAAAGAGCGCTTGTGCTCCTCTCATGCGAAATTAGAGCTTGCGGATATCGCACAGAGAGTCAGACGCGCACACACATACACAGAGACACACACATCAACGAAAGAGGTGAAGACGTTCAACACATTGATCCATCGCCCATCGATCCAATGACCCGATACAAAGCCGCACGAGCGATTTACGCTCTAAGAGGTGCCCACAATCTTCGAATACGAAACACACCAAAATCACGTGAAGGCCCAAGCAAAAGCAAATAGTAACAAATAGCAAACAACAAGGACGCTACTAGTAGCAAAGGGCATCGCTACTAGCAACAAGGACGCTCTTAGTAGCTCCTGGCATCGCTACTAGGAGCAAGAAGCTACTAGTAGCTCCGGGCATTACTACTAGTAACGTCAGGACGCTTAGGTGGAGCCCGCAAATACATCAAAACCACAGCGTAACGTGTTCAAACCTAATAATGGATCCTCTAGCCACATTGATCGACAGGCACTGGGAGTCCTTCTGAAAGCGTTCAGTGAGAGCGTGCAGTCCTGGCCTGGCACAGACATAGCAAAATGCAACCAAATGGAACAAAGAACAGGTTGATGTGAGAACAAATCAACGTTGCATCTGAAGTTCAAAGATTTTGCAGCTTAACCGGCTCAACCACGATGCATCCACTCACTGGGTGGAGCTCTTGCAATCACCGCAGAAAATACTCTGTTTCATGTGGGGTTTGTGAAAACAAAAGGAAGTGGACAGCTGACCTGTGCGAAGGACACTTGAGCTGTGCTGGAAACCTTGATAGATTGAAAGGTCGTATGGGAAGTCTTACGCTGAGACTTACGCTTTCCTTGCGCGCGCACAGTTTTAGCTTACCATTTTCACGCAGCACTACTTGCAGAGTGACTAGATGATATGCTTGATGAGGACGATGTGGATTCTGCATCAAACACCTGGTCAGACTTCATGGCCTCACTCCGGCGCTTGCGCTTTCTTGCTTGCCTGCTCAAAGTCTGAGCTGGCGCCATGCGTGGGCAATTGATTAGAAATCGAAGTTGTCTTTACGCAGTGCTTACGCGGACCTTACGCCATGTCTGATCATTCCTTGGTTCATAAAAACAACTTGTTTTCATTGATTGGCCCTTACGCCACTGGTTATGTTGAAAAAACCTTACGCAACCTTACGCGCAGCAGACTTTTGCTTACGCCAACCCTCCTTATGACCAAGCTCTTAACAAAAATGTAAAGGGAGGTTTACGGCGCTGCTCACTTGGGTCTCAGAAGCTTATCTAGACCCATGCCAGTTCGGCTCTCCGATGTGATTTCCCTCCAGGTCCAGGGTTTGGAGCTTCACCATCCTTAGTGTCCAATTAGCATGTTTCTCACAAAGTGACAAGGCTATTGTAGAAGTGTACCACGGACCTTGTCACCTCACCAGCTTGACCAGCTTGACTCTAGGCTCCGTACTTGTTGGCGCTCATCACCCCTTGTAAACCTCGGGCAGAACTCTTGCATATTTCCATCTTCAGGCGGTTTCATGAGTCCATCTTCCACAAGACAGCAGAGCTGGTCCGCCTGCTGATGTGATGCCATTGTCGCGAACACCTGATGACAAGTCAACTGATATGGCGAGGAGAAAAAAACAGTGGCCTCCAACCTAATAGCGATGGCCTCCAACCTACTGGCGATGGCCTCCAACCTACTGGCGAT